CACAGGGCCGACAATGCATTCATTTTATTTAAGCTTGAAATGGTCATATTTGGGGAGAGAAGATCTCAGGCCAGTTGAGAAAGATCAGTTATTCTGGCAGGACCAGCACCTGTTGACAAAAAAGCAAAACAAAACCCACCAAACACTATTTTAAGAAGAAAATATAAAATAAATACAGTAGAACTGCATCCAAACTGTGTTGAGTCCAGGGCTGTGTGAGCCAATAATGTCAACAATCAATAACCTTTAGCTCACTATATTGGCTTCCCCTTTCTTAATCGGGTGCGCTAGAAACCTCGCAGACTATGAACCATGGAAGTTCAATTCAAAACTAAACCAAGGGGATGTTTCCAAATATGCTTTCCATGGTGATGTTACCAAGTGGCTTGTGAGAAGAGCCAGGAGAGTAATATCTTCAGAATACCATTATATAGATATTCTGCTCTGTCACTGGAGTCTCGTTCACCAGCTATTGCTGTTCCTGGACACTCTTAAGGTATCCTAACCAAATTTTACATGATCAAGGGTAGGTTTTTGTTTATGCTTGGATGCAATTGGATGCCATATTGAATCAAGAATCTTTTAAAACACAGATTTTAACCACTGATTTCAAAACTTCACTGATTCTCTCCCCCCCCCCCCCCGCCCCCAGGTTCTCAGAATTTCCAGGGGATGCATGCCAGTTTTGGGCAGTGTGTGAGGGAGGCAAAGCGGCTAGAGAAATGGATGTAAATTTTAACTTTGTAAATGAAGGTAGGTTTTGACTTTGTACAGTAGACTAGTTTCTACAGATGCACACAAACACCTCTCTCTATCCTCCATGAGAACATGCAAGAGGTGTTGTTGTATGTACCGTATTTTTTGCTCTATAAGACGCACCAAGTTTTTGGAGGAGGAAAACAAGAAAAAAAATATTCTGAATCTCAGAAGCCAGAACAGCAAGAGGGATCACTGCGCAGTGAAAGCAGCAATCCCTCTTGCTGTTCTGGCTTCTGGGATAGCTGTGCAGCCTGCATTCACTCCATAAGACGCACACACATTTCCCCTTACCTTTTAGGAGGGAAAAAGTGAGTCTTATAGAACAAAAAATACGGTATGTATGTATGTATTGAATTTATATACTGTACCTCCCTACACCCAGGGGTCTCAGGGAAGTTCTCAGAATAAAATCAAGATGTAAAACCACAAAATAACTAATAAAAATAAAAGCAACAACCTAATGCCCCCCCAACACATTTTAAAATGGCATGGGATGTAAATCAGATCAATCAAAGTCCTGGTTAAAAAGGAACGTTTTCCCCTGGCGCCTAAAGGAGTATAATGAAGGCGCCAGGCAAACTTCCCTGGGGAGAGCATTCCACAGACGGGGAGCCACTGCAGAGAAGGCCCATTCTCGTGTTGCCACCCTCCGGACCTCTTGAGGAGGAGGCACACGAAGGAGGGCCTCAGAAGATGATCTCAGGGTCCGAGTAGGTTCATGTGGAAAGAGGTGGTCCTTGAGGTATTATCTGAGTTCAAGGACACATTCCAATGAGACAAAAGCATTAGGGGTACCAAGTGGTGTCAGTGAAGGGCATGGCCTGAGGAGAGTTCTGAGGGCCAAACAGAGAAGGCTGCAGGGCCAGATTTGGTGACGGGCTGAGAATTCTTGCTTAACACTCTTCCTTCAGTCACATATCTTCAACTCTCCTGATTTCCTTGGTGTGTTAAGTGAGCTCAAGGACAGCTGCGCAACCGCATTCCAAAGAGCACTATCGTGACACACAACTAATGTGGGACAAGGCCAAATTTTCCCAGTGACAAAAATGTCAATGCTTAAAAAAAAAAAAACACCAATTCCAGCTGGGTAGTAACTGAGGAGCAATGATGAAATACGGCAGGAAAAATACTTTCTCTGGAAAGTCAAATGTCTTGTCATTGCTGTGAAAAACTTTTTTAAAAAGCTGTATTTCAAAGCCAAGAGATTTCTATCTTCCTTATGAAACTCTGATGATTTTGAAATGGGAAACCTATCAATAATTTTACTGATTCTTTACCCTTCATATATATATATAGTATATGACAGCACATAACTGGTATATACGTTATCAGGGCTACATACAGAATAGCCCTTTTAAGAAATTGTCAAAGTGCCATAAGGTACTGAGTCTGCAATAACTACGAATTTATGGAAAAGTCCTTGAGGAAGGAGGAAAAAAAGAAATAGCACAGTGGAGGCCTTGAAGAGGATCATGTCTCTATGCCCGGAGCAAGGGCTTAACTTTGGATATAATTTGTGCTAGAGGGAAGGAAAAGTCATTTTTTTATTGTACAATGGAAGCGTTTCATTCATTCAGAAGATAACGAAATGCAAACATCATCAGACTTTCATCTCTACTGATTCACAGACCTGGCACTAAAAAATGCATTTGATGCAGAATAGCCATTTAAAGGGCTTCTGCTCACCCATCCCTCCCATGCTAATGGAGAACATTCCTAAGAGCAGGAGATCAGGACCAGAGCACATGCTCTGCATACACAGGCTCAATTTCTGCACCTGCGGTGTTCCATTTCATTTATTTATTAAATGTCTGTCCATCCTTCTTCCCGAAGGAGCCCAGGGTAGTAAACACCAAAGCAGTAAAGGACCGTGATTAAAATTGAAATTAATGCATATTCGAAGGACCAGGTTGCAAGTAATGAGAAAGATGTGAGGTTCTCCAGATGTTGTTAGATTGCTGCTGCCGCCAGCATCTTTTACTCTTGGCCCTGCCAGCTAGGGTTGAAAAGAATATGAGTCTGATAACATATGCGGGGACGCGGGTGGTGCTGTGGGTTAAACCACAGAGCCTAGGACTTGCCGATCAGAAGGCTGGCGGTTTGAATCCCCGTGACGGGGTGAGCTCCCATTGCTTGGTCCCTGCTCCTGCCAACCTAGCAGTTTGAAAGCACGTCAAAATGCAAGTAGATAAATAGGTACTGCTCCGGCGGGAAGGTAAACGGCGTTTCCGTGCGCTGCTCTGGTTCGCCAGAAGCGGCTTAGTCATACTGGCCACATGACCTGGAAGCTGTATGCCGGCTCCCTTGGCCAATAAAGCGAGATGAGCGCCGCAACCCCAGAGTTGGCCACGACTGGACCTAATGGTCAGGAGTCCCTTTACTTTTACCTTTTATCACATGGATGGGCACAATTCTGTGCCAGATGAGCAAATAGTCTAATCTGGTATAAGGCAGCTTCCTATGTAACTAAAGGATAAGAGATGCTGAACCAAACTTCCAAATCTTGTCAGTGTTGGCAAGAGATCGTAAAATGGAGTGCATAAAATATATTGTCTGGTATGACTGCTGGTTGAAAGAATAAAGAAACCTAAGGTTTATTACTCCTGGCAAGCAAAGCTATTCTGAGAACAGGTTTACATGTGGCCATCATGGAACCATGAAGTTAGCAACCCTGCTTCTCTCTCCCACCCGACTCCACTTTATCCCCCAATCTCCCCCACCACTCCACTTCCAGTCTCCCACTTGCATACCCTCCAAGTGCCCTATGTGAAAGAGAGCAATCAGTGTGGTGGGAGACTGAGAGGAAAAGTCCATTGTGCCCATGTTGTAGTCATATTTTCCTCTTGTATTTTAACTTTCCTTCACTTATCTTTCTGTAGCCTGAAGGGCACCTATAGGTTTCCCCCCTCTAGTATTTTAGAATGACATTAAATGATGAATAACACAATTACCAACCTACACAATATATAATAAAGGTGTGTGTTTTGTGTGTGTGTTTTAAAAAACCACACACACACACACACACACACACACACACACGGAGGCATTAGTCAAAACATTTTATGCACCCAGTGGAGTGAAAATGCCCTTTCAGTTCAAAACCCACAACTCTGATCCCATATAGCTCTTTTAAGTCCTGCTATTTAGAGCCTAGCTCTTAGTACTTTAGTCCACAATCCTATTTTCACTTGCCTGAGAGTAAGACTTGTTGAACTCAGTGGGGTTTTTCATTGAGAAGACATACACAGGGGAGAGCACTGTTCCCTCTTCCTACATAAGCCACACACTTATTTTCACTTGAAAGCACCCAGTGAGGAGTGCTCAAGAGAGCTGGATCTGTCAATTCTGCAAATTCTTGCCATTATATTTATTCAACAACATAGTGTAAACAAGAGAACTTGTAATGCTGTATCAGCAACAGATGTTAGGTATAAAGATGTCAGGGTGAAGGACAAGACTGTTATAGACTTGCCCTGAAATTAAGGCAATGCCATTTATGCAGGCAAGAGTTATGGGAATGTCGCCTGGTGTTTTGCTTCTCTGCCTCACTGAATAGTTGTGCATGCTGTGTGTACATCTATCTTGTGTGCTCCCCTGAATCTGAATTCATTTGATTTAAATATCCCACACCATTTGCAAAACAGGGATTATTATTATTATTATTATTATTATTTTCAGAAAGATATAGAGAAATGCTTAGAAATGTATTCAGTTAATTTCTCCGCTCACTGCTTCTTTAGCACCCATGGTAAATATGTGAGGTATTATCAACATCCCATGGAACAAAGCTGGAGAAGTAAATAACTCCCCTGAAAAGTTCATGAACTCTTCCTCCCCCCAATAAGTCTTCATATCCAAGTCTGATACCCTTCTGAAGTTATGCACACACAACATTTTGCCTTGAAGTCCGGCTGATTGGATTTGAATAAATGTTTGCTGTCTTCTTCACTCAGCTGAGCAAAGCATGTTCCAGTTGCATTTTTAAAATATATATTTATTGAAGTTTTAAAATTATAAGAAAAAGAAATACAGAAAGAAAATACAGTGGTACCTCAGGTTAAGTACTTAATTTGTTCCAGAGGCCTGTACTTAACCTGAAACTGTCCTTAACCTGAAGCACCACTTTAGCTAATGGGGCCTCCTGCTGCCGCCGCGCCGCCGGAACACAATTTCTGTTCTCATCCCGAAGCAAAGTTCTTAACCTGAAGCACTATTTCTGGGCTAGCGGAGTCTGTAACCTGAAGCGTATGTAACCCGAGGCACCACTGTATTTGTGTGTCATCCTTGTGCTGGGGCCATGCTAATCTTCTCTGTATCGTTACAATTTTAGTATATGTGCTGCCGAAGCGAGAAAGAAAGAAAATAAGGAAGAGGGGAAAAGGTTATGGGGCGGAACGTTATGTAGCATCAGTGCAGACGTGGTACATGAGTAGAGCAGAATATATTTGTGGTTTAACAAATACTGGGAAAGAAAATATCACAGTAATTACCAATGTGTTGAGCACCCAATGGCATTTTACCTTTTTTGCAGAAATTCCTATCATTTCTATAAATTCATTTGTGCCATCCCAGCACTGCTGGGAATACTGCCTGAATCAGAGACACGACCTCTGGATATTATGAGTGGAGAGTAGGGATGGGAGAGAAAGTTGATTCAGTTTGCATTGACAGGTGAATCCATCAAGTTCACACTTTCTGAAACAATATGAGCACTGAAACATAACCATCCCTCGAAATTCCTATTTATCTGGATTTTGTGATGCAGCTCTTCAACCAGTGTTTAAGAGAATCAGGGAATACATCAGGGAAGCGCATGCACAAAAATAAATATATTTATATAATTGTAGAGTTGGGAGGGACATTGAGGACCATCTTGTCCAGCCCACTGCAATGCAGAAATATGCAGCTGTCCCATATGGGGATTGAGCCTGCAACCTTGGCATTATCAGCACCATGCTCTAACTAACTGAGCATGAAAATAATATACGAAAATGTGTTGCAGTAGAGAAAATTGCTTGCAAAAAAAGGTGTGCGTCATTCAAAAGCAGCAGACAAAAATATGTTTAGTAGGAGAGATTTGCACTAATATCCTGATGAATTTTCAGGAGGATATTTTTTAAAAATAGAAAATGACAGTGCAAATTGCTGCAAAAATGTGGAGTACTGAATTTTAACTGGAAAAATGAGAAATGGGGAGAACTGAAATGAGCAGATCCTTTTGTTTCTGGTGAAGAGACCTATTGCGCTTGTGGAGTTTCCATAGGCAACTGCTTGGCAACTGTGGGAACTGGATGTTGGACAAGACAGATGTTTGGCCTGACCCAAAAGAGCTCCTTCTCTGCTTTCATGTTCTTAAAATAAGGCCACATCCATAGCATACATTTAAAGCACATGGCTTCCTGCAAAGAATCCTGGGAAATGTAGTTCATTCAGGGTGTTGGGCACTGCCGCTCTGTGAGGGGGTAAATTTCAGTTCCCAGGATTCCCTGGGGGAAAGCCATACACTTTAAATGTGCTTTAAATGTATGGTGTAGATATAACCACACATTAGAGGCACTAGTAAGGAGATGGGGATTCTTGCTGTGAGCAGCCTAGCTGTAGATTTTCTGGGAAGAATAAGTGGCTCCATCTGTTTGATAGTTTGGCTATATGTGTGATCCCGAACAGGAAAGAGAAAGCAACACTGAACCTTCAAAGTGAGGTACTGTGTGGAGCTGAAAGTAATTAGGGATGCCAAGGGCTTTTCCCGACTCATCTTGAGATTTTGCAGGTTTCACCACAGAGATGGCTGTCAGTTTGACTGAAGCTATCATCAGTCCTACTAATGCTGAACTCAGGTGGTGTGTATACTGGCAGGAATGGAGTAAAACAAGGACCACTGAAAATAAGAGGGGGCTACTAGCATGGATGGCGCTGTGAGTTAAACCACAAAGCCTAGGACTTGCTGATCAGAAGGTTGGCAGTTCGAATCCCCGCGATGGGGTGAGCTCCTGTTGCTCGGTCCCTGCTCCTGCCCACCTAGCAGTTAAAAAGCACGAAGTGCAAGTAGATAAATAGGTACCACTCTGGCGGGAAGGTAAACGGCGTTTCCGTGCACTGCTCTGGTTTGCCAGAAGTGGCATGTCAATAAAGCAAGATGAGTGCCGCAACCCCAGAGTCGGTCATGACTGGACCTAATGGTCAGGGGTCCCTTTACCTTTACTAGCATGCATGTGGAGGCCTTGGGGTTCATCGAAGTACATTTTTAAATAAAATAAAATAAAGGGGCACCCCCTAAAAATAATAATAGCAGCCTGATGTGGATTTAGCATGCTCAGTGGCCATGGAATGGTGACTGTCAGCTGGAAAAGAAAAACAGGAAGTGAGGGGGGCGAAGGAATGGGCAGCCCAAGGAGGGCATGGTTGGTTGGCTGGCTCTGAAGCTACCCCAGGAAATGTGGCAAGATGGTAGCAACCAGCCGCCCTTCCTGGAGTGGCACTGAAAAGTGTAGGCACAATGAACGTCCAGAGAGGGCTAATGATAGGTGCCTAGAATAAAGAAGGGGGGGCGGGATGCTCGCGGAACACTGGGTATGGCTTAGGAGGAATCCTAATGCTATCAGTATTGTTTAGCAATGTTTTGTCACCAAATACGTTCGCTAAACATTAACTGAACTACTGACTCCATCATCAGGCCTTTCCATTCATACAGCCCCTCTGTACTCTGGACCTTAGGGTTAATGTGTCTTCATTTTGCAGGGGGAAAGTCCAGCTCACATAACCTTGCCTTTTTAGGTTTCTCAGAACTCTTTGCTAGCTGGCTTGGCAGGGCACATTTCAAAGCTTTGGTTTCGGAAGAGTTACTTAACAGTTTCACATCAAGGCCAAGGTTTCGGCCCATCAAGAATGACTGTCCTTTACAAAGAGAGTGAGTCAACTCCTTATTGAGGAGCCTGAGGAACGAAGTATGGCTTTGAAACCAGCATCACTTTGCTCCAGGGAAACAGTGCAAGCAAAGCAGACTTGAGCCGAGAGAACAAAACAAATTCAGGAGAAAGTAATGCAGCAGACAGGTGAATGCTTGTTAAGACATTTGAAAGCCTCTTAATGAAAGTGGTGGTGATGGGTTAATGTTCTGTGTAGCAATAACCATCCAAATGTTGAGAATAGTCTATTCTGAATAGATCAGGGGTAGGACCTGGTTAAAGAGGAACGTTTTTGCCTGGTGCCTAAAAGTGTACAATGAAGGCACCAGGTGAGCCTCCCTAGGGAGAGCATTTCACAAACGGGGAGCCACTGCAGAAAAGGTCCATTCTCCTGTTGCCACCCTCTGGACCTCTCATGGAGGAGGCACATGAAGAAGGGCCTCAGAAGATAATTTCAGGGTCTGGATAGGTTCATACAGAAAGAGGCGGTCCTTGAGGTATTGCGGTCCTGAGCCATTTAAGGCTTTATAGGTCAAAACCAGCACTTTGAATTGGGCCCAGAAACTAACTGGTAGCCAGTGCAGTCAGACCAGGATCAGTGTAATATGCTCAAACCATCTTGCCCCAATGAGCAACCTGGCCGCTGAATTCTGCACTAGCTGAAGTTTCCAAACAGTCTTCAGAGGCAGCCCTACATGTAACACATTGCAGTAATCTAACCAGAGGTTAGATTACCTCTGGTAACCAGAGGATAGACAAACAGAAGTTAGGCTATCCCAGTCCAGATAAGATTGCAGCTAGGCCAGGAGCTGAAGCTGATGGAAGGCACTCTGCGCCACGGAGGCCACCTGAGCCTCAAGTGACAGCAAAGGATCCAGGAGTACCCCCAAGCTACGTACCCACTCCTACAGAGGAAGCGTTACCCCATCAAGAGTAGGCAACTTCCCAACCATTCCAGTCTAGGGAACCACCCACTAACAGTGCCTCAGGTTTACCTTGTTTGAGTTTTGGTTTGTTGGCTCTCAATCAGTCCATTATCGAGTCCAGCACTTCCACTGCCTCACTTGCAGATGTAAAGGAGAAGAGGAACTGAGTACAGTGGTACCTCAGGTTACAGACGCTTCAGATTACAGACTCTGCTAACCCAGAAATAGTACCTTGGGTTAAGAACTTTGCTCCAGGATGAGAACACAAATCGTGCAGCGGCAGTGGGAGGCCTCATTAGCTAAAGTGGTACTTCAGGTTAAGAACAGTTTCAAGTTAAGAACTGACCTCCAGAACAAATTAAGTTCTTAACCTGAGGTACCACTGTATCATCAACATACTCCAAACCTCCGGATAACCCCACTCAGCCATTTCATGTAGATGTTTAACACCATATGGGATAGGAGCGAACCCTGCAGAACCCCAGGAGAAAACCATGGTTGATGGTATCAAAAGATACCATGTATACATTTCTACCTCTGGCCATGGAGACAGAGCACAGCCATCATGGCTAGTAGCCATTAAGAGGAAGGTTTCTTTGGCTCTTCAACCAAGAGCTATTTCTAGCGTCGATAAGGTTGACCCCATGCTTGGTGCTTTGAGGGTCAGACACACAGCTAACAGTTTTCCAGACAGAAGTCATGAGTTCTGCAGTGCCTTGTTGTGAGTGGGCACCTCCCACTGTGTGTGCACAAGATGGCACAACCCCAAATTGTGAACATTATAAACTTTCAGGAAACTCAGTACTGACTCTAGATCAATATCCTCTTGCAACCCCCCAAGGTTTTCCAAGCTGGCTGCGAGTCAATAGTTCTTATCGGTCCTACCAACAAGTAGCTATTGAGGTCTCTTGTTCTTGGATCTGACTATTGACACCATCGAACTCCCTCAACCTGGTGCCATCCAGCTGTTTTGGATTACAATTCCCATCAAGCCTCGGCCGGCGCAGTTGGGGAAGCCGGCAATAAAAACCTTTTGCCATATGGCATAGCCAGCATCCCTATCATGGATCAGTTGCTGCAAAGGCTGCCAGGTGACATTCTAGTTACTGGAGGGAAATTGGCAATGCATTTGAAGAATTTGGAAGCAGTTCCCCTGAGGTTGCAGAGCTAAAAATGAATGAGTAACTGTGATTTTTTTCCAAGATAAAGTTAAATATGCAGGACACATAATTCTCTGAATCTTTTGCCAGCAGAAAAAAAGTTCAGGCAATCACAGAGCACCCACCCCTAAAAGTATGCCAGTGTTGAAAGGTTAAATCCATGACTATCTTTCCTATTCTGTATCTATCTATCTATCTATCTATCTATCTATCTATCTATCTATCAAACAAACAAACCCCAGCTTTCATCCAAGGAACTCCTCTTCCTCATATCCTCACAACAACCTCATGAAGTAGTTAAAACTGAGAGAAAGTAACTGGACCAAGGTCACTCAGTGAGCTTCATGGAAGAGTAGGGA